TGGGGAAATCTACAGCGAGAGGTGATTCTTGAGTGTCGAGGGCGCGGCGTCTGAATACGTTGCAGGGAATTCCCTTGCGAGAGCGCGGTTCCTGCATACATTGTGAGGAAGTCCCGCGCGAGAGATCAATGTTTCGATACACTGTGAGGAAGAATGAGGGAGCTGTTGTTGCTGTAATTCGGGGACCAGGGGCGCAGTTTGACGTTCAAAGAGTTTCCTTAACATGAGCAGGGTGCGAGCCCCGGGAAGGGCACTCCAATTGAAAAGTACGCTTGCACCGGGCGGAGGTGATCAGTAATACTTAGGCTTGAGAGATGAGAGTCCAACAACAACAAAAACAACCCCAACCACAACCACAACCCCATCAACAGCAGTTATAACAACAATGCGTTTGACACTGTTTGCTCGTATCTGCTCGCGTGCCCTTCAGCACGCATATCCCAGACCCTCGATACCCGCCTTCTTCGTATTCGACCGTACACCCTTGTGGTTATACCTTTCTCATCTGCAACGTGTATTTCGCGCAAATCTTGAGGCAGGCGAAGGGAGGACGAGGGAAGGAAGGGACAAGGCGGGAAGAGGAGGATGGAGCACGAGAGAAATTAGCAGGAAGGGGGCCCGGAGCAAAAACCAGACGGGCAGATCGGGCGGGTAGACCCTAGCGGGCGGGTCGGGAAGGCGGGCCCAGGCGGCCAGGTCGAGCAAGCGGGTTGCTGACGCGTGCGTTTTGCATTAAAATCGCGAGGAAGTCTTGAGCGGCAGATTCCCAGGTACATCGCGAGGGAATCCATAGCGAGAGCGTGATTCCTGAGTATGAGTAAATTGCGAAGAAGGCCCACGCGAGAGCGCGATTCCTGCATACATTGCATTGTGAGGAAATATCAGGCGGGAGTCGTTGTTGTTGTAATTCGGGGGCCACGGTTCCAGTTTGGTGACCCTGAGCTTTCCCTTGTAACAAACAAAAAACACGTGCGAGCCCCGGTGAGAGCAATTTAGTTTAAAAAATGCAGCGGCTTCTGTGGGGGATCCACACTAACTATTTTTTGGAAAAGAGACTTCAATCCGCACCGCGGAGTCCAATTTCAGCCACGCATCCACGGACTGAATGCCCGCTCGGCCCCCTCATTCTGACGATAGTGCGCCCCCAGAGTTGACGCCAATACGAGACCAGCATGACGCATCTTCTTATTGGCCGTCCTCCAGGACGGCCCCGAGGTAGCCCCAAGACGATATGACCGTTTACGAGCCCTATTTGGTCCCGAGGTTACCCCGGGACTGCAAGATAGTTCCATGTTCCTGCAGTATGACCACGCGACGGCCCTAGGATGACCCAGGCCCCATGGTTATCTTCGTGAAGTTGTGTGTGTGTGTGTTTGTGTGTGTGTGTGTTGGGGGGTCTTGCCCAGCGAAGAGGGAGCTCTGCGAAGGAGAGTCGCGGCAGGAGCAGCTAGGAAGAGCGAGGGGGAGAGGATGGAGAGGGCAGGGAGGGAAGCGAGGCTGGCGGCATTCCTGGATGCCGGCCGTCGCTCTCGCCTGGGCTCTGCGGGTACGCTGCCACATCTTCGTCGGGCAGTCTGGCGTTCGCGAGGGGCGTGTGTCCTTCTGGTTTCGGTCTGAGCCTGGTTTGGCCTTGTATGGCCCGACGTTGTCCAGGATCTTCTGGCCTGGCCTGTGCCATTCCGACACCGGCACGAGCTCCTCCCTTGAAGGGCCCCGTGCGTCATCCAATCCTTTGTCACCTGGCACCTTTGCATGAGAGGGGGCTGGGGCTGGCATAGAGAAGGATGGACGTTTCTCTGGTGTATCCGAAATTTCGCAACGTGTTATTCATCGTCAACGGTTCATCCAGAAGCGAATGTTCGGTTTCTTGCAAGTGGGATGCGGGGGAGTATGAGCGAAACAAAGAGAGGGGGCACCAGTGCAACCAAAGGGTGGACCAGCCCAAGAGACCATTGCCAGCTTCGGGCCTTTGGCAGGCTATTCGGAGTACCTCGGGCCCGCTGGAAGCCCAGAAAACAGTCATTGGGCCCCTGTGAGGTGTCTTTAGTCGTCTCTCTGGTCCTCTCGAGACCGTACCAACAGCCTGCGGCCAAACAGCGCCGCGTCAATCAGCGTTTCCCCCCCTGAAGCCCGAACATGTTTCGATGGACTCCCTCGGGGCTGCTCTCTTGGGGTGATCGAAAGGAGCTTCCGGAGCAGCCTTGGGGTCCCGCTGGAACCGCTTGTGGCCCCCTTACGTAGGCCATCTCGGAACCATCTTCAGGTCCCCCAGGCCGTCCGAAGGCGACACCGAACAGCGTTGGTGTGTCAATGCTTTCGGCCTCTCGGAGGCATCGCTGGGAGGCCCGGTGGCCCATCCTGGCCATATGTTGGCATCCTTGGGATTTGCCGGAGGCATGTTGGATGCCATCCTCGGCTAGCTTTGTCATGCTGCGCCGTCTCGAAGGGAATCAGGAGAATACGAGGGCATCCTGGAGCCAGCTAGGACCTTCTGGACGCTTCAATTGGTCGTGATGCCGCCCGTCTGACCCCTCGTGGGGGTGTGAGAGAGAAAAGCCATTGGTGAAGAGCTGGACACTACGCCACCTACGCCCGAAGGGCTAGCAGGAGCGTCGTCGCATTCAAAGGATTCCGCACGGGGTGCCTTCTACTCATCAATCCGCCCCCCGCGCCCCTTCCCACCTCCTTCACCTTCCCCTCCGAGCCTCCTCCCTGCTTCCTGTTCCCTCCACCCTCCTGTTCTGCCTGAGGGACACCCACTGCGGATGCTCACTTGCAAAGCCAATTCGAATATGCCCTCGAACCTGGGAGGAGAAAAGTTCCCGCAGGAGGCCCAAACAGCAATGGACACCCAGCGTACTCACAGTGTTGCCCTGACGAAGGCGTGAGCTGCATGGGACACCTGTGTTCTTTAGTGCGGGTGCGCTGTCGAGGCGCCAGGCTTGCTTGCTTGCTTGCTTGCTTGCTTGCTTGCTTGCTTGCTTGCTTGCTTGCTCCTCCTTGCCCCGTCCCTCCTCGTCCTTCTCGTCCACACACCCACCCCCCTCGGCCCTCAGCTCCAGCGACATGATGTGGCTCGACGGAGCTCGTGGAGACGGCGGGGCCCAGGGGGTCATGGCCGCCCGAGGGGAAGGCGCGAGTGTCGCACCGCCCGGGCGCCCCGACCGAGCCGAGAGGCGCCAGAAGGCTGCAGCTTTCCGTTCGGGTCTGGATTCCAAGTCCGGATGCCTTTGAGATTTGGGCGTTTCAGTTTTTTGGCGTTGGGCGTCTTCGCCGAGTTTTTCGGGCCCCAGCACCATCACGGAGCGACCTGGCTCGAGAGAGGCTGTTTTTTGTCCCATGCTTCTGCGAACTTGCTGGCTTTTCCAGGGGGGGAATGGGGGGGGAGCGTGGCGAGGCCCGAGGGGAAGTCGGACTTCACCCAAGTTGGGGCTCACTTGCAAGGCGTTTCGGCCCAGCGATGTGCGAACATAGGGGAACAAAAAGTGACACAAACATAGAAACTCGCCGAGAATTTCTCGGATCGGCGCTGGATTTCTCGGATCGGATTTCTCGGATCGGCGCTGGATTTCCGAGGGGTCCGCGCGGATTTCTCGGATCGGCGCTGGACCCCCCTCCCTGGCGCGCGGAGCGCGCCAGGGCCGGCGCCGGAGGCGCCGCCAGGGGGCCCCAGCGCCGATCCGAGAAATCCGCGCGGACCTCCGAGTTATTATGTTTATGTCATTGTTCGTTCCCCTAGAACAGGCGGCGGGGGGATGGCGGCGGGAACTGCTACGCAAGTAAACTTACCCCGAGTCTGAAGCAGAACGCCTTCAGACATTTCGCGGAATGATTGGTCTACGGCCCCAGTCGTGACCTGGCGCGACGTTGCAGTTTTTCCGCATCGTCGGATTTTTGGGGCACTGCCGGGTCTGGGCCAGACCTGGCAGTGCCGCCGTTCACAATTGTCCTTGCCTTTTTTGGAGCAGTTGCGGTTGTACTCGCTCAGACCTCCGTCGCCGGCTTGTCCATGCACGATGCCGAGGGCTCCCGATCCATTTCTTGAGGCCTCTTTTGCGCCGCGGAGTGGGAGGGGGAAATGAGGTGTGGGGCAGGAGGGCGGGAAGAGAGATGAGGACAGTCAGACCGAGGTATAAGGTTGAGGTCGGCTCGGGGAGTGTACCCCAACGTTCTTCGTGTTGGCCGGATGCTCTCGTGCAGCCTGGGGGAGAGCATACCTTCAAGTTTTCTTCAGTTTCGCCGGCGGAGGGTCCCATGTTCTTGAAGGATGTTCTTCTGTCTTCCAGGAGGGAAAAATCGCACAGACACAATGGATCGTCGACCCCCAGGAAAATATAGGAAAATGTGGGAAGGGGGGGGGGGGAAGACAAAAACCTCGAAAATGTGGGAAAATATGGGGAATCCTTTTATTTGTGTGCATTTTTATTTGTGTGTCCCAGGGCGCCTTCAGTCTTAGGTCCAGCCATGGTGTGCCTGCCCGCGCTCTCCCGGCCCCTCTCAGGCCCCCGCCGCTCCGAGCCCTCGGAGGCCCACCGGAAAGAGGAGCCCCTCAACGAATGTCGGAGGTGGGTAAACCTCCTACGGTAGGTTTGCGTCGTGTCGACCAGCGGCGACCCCAGCGTGGGCGTTCAAGGTTGAACGCCGCCGGCGACCCAGAATCGATCGATGTTGAACGATCGGACGTTGCGGCAGCGGCCGATCGTTCAAGGTTGAACGATCCCTGCGGTGTCAAAAAACCAACGCTGGGGTCGGCACGACACGAACCTGCCGTAAACCTCCTACCCTGACACGTCGATTCGTGAATTGGCCGTTTTCGGTTCGCGAGAGGGCGTCGCGGCCGTCGTTTGTGCGGGTTCAGGTCCGTCGGTTTCGGTCCCAGGCCGTTTTCACTAAGGGGAGGTTTACGAAAGGGAGGTTTATCCACCGCCGATCATGCATTAACATCGTCGTCGATTCGGAAGTTTTGGGTGTTTCTGGAGCCCTTCGGTCGCCCCGGCCAGGCGCAGCTCGATCAAGGTGACCAAGGTGGCCAGCACGGAAGCCCCGGGAGAGGTTTGGGAAGTGGTCTCTTGAGCGGATGTGGGCGAGACGACGACGACGGGCTAACGCAGAGTCCCGAGCGAGCCAGCCTTTGTTGGTCACGGAAAGTTTCGGCGCTGCAGCGCTAGAAACAAATTGCCATCACCATTATACTTATGACTGACATTGTCATCAGCATCGTCACCATCAGTATCGTCATCATCATCATCGTCATCATCATCATCATCATCATCATCATCATCATCATCGTCATCATCATCATCATCATCATCATCATTTTCATCATAATCATTATCATCAGCATCACCATCAGTATCACCATCACCATCATCACCACCATCAATCATCATCTGAACCGTCATCATCCCAACCATCACCTGAATCATCATTCCACATGCATCATCAACATCATCATCATCGTCATCAGCATCGTCGTCTGAATTGTCATCATCATCGTCATTATCAGTATCATCATCATCATCATCATCATCACCACTTCCACCACCACCACCATCATCATCATCATTATCATCATCATCATCAACATCATCATCATCTCATCATCATCATCATCATCATCATCATCATCATCATCATCATCATCATCATCATCATCATCATCATCATCATCATCATCATCATCATCTGAGAGCGGACCTGGGTGGGACGGCGGCCACGGGCGAAACAGCAGCTGGAGGGGAGGCGCCGGCCCCTGCGTCAGGGACACCCCGGAGGCGCGCGCCTGCTGCTCCGCTGCCCTCTCTCGGGGGTGGACAGAACCCCCAACAGTGACACGTCGACTAGTGAATTGTCCGTTTTCGGTTCTCGAGAGGGCGCCGTGGCCATTATTTTCGAGGCTTGCGCCCGCCAGGTTTGGGCCTCAGGTTGTTTTCATTAAACCACGTTTTACTAAAGGGGGGTCTGTCCATCCCCGACTCTCCTGAGCCTCCCGAGTGGGCTCCGAGCAGGTGAGGCCGGAGGATCGAAGGACGGCGCCGCATCGCCGATGCAGCGGCGATGCTCAGACAGGGCAACGAAGAGTGACACAAACACAGGAACTCGGAGGGCCACGCGGATCTCTCAGGTCCGCGCGCCAGGGAGGGGGGATCCATCGCGGATCCCAGAGATTCGCGCGGACCTCCGAGTCTGTATGTTTCTGTGATTCGTCGTGTCCCTAGTAGCGCCGCATCGCCGATGCATCGGCGATGCTCAGGGGAGGACAAGGCTCCAGTTCTGCTACGTTTGCCTCGTCTTGATGTTTTGGGGCCTCCCTCTGGAGGCCCTCGTCGCCACGGCCAGATCCGCCTCGGGACCCAGGCCGTGGATTAACAGTATGGGTATTCCTCCTCCTCCTCCCCCTCCTCCTCCCTCTCTACCTCCTCATCCTCCTCCTGCTCCTCCTTATCATCATCATCATCATCATCATCATCATCATCATCATCATCATCATCATCATCATCATCATCATCATCATCATCATCATCGTCCCCCTTCTCCCCCTCCACCCTTCCCCATCTTGCTCGTCATCCTCCTCTTCCTCCTCCCCTACTTCTCCTCCTGCTCCTTCCTCAGCCTGGTTTCCCCAGATGCGGCACGATGTGGAGCCCGATCTTTTCCACGCCGACGGCGCCGACGTACCGCCGACGGCGGCGATGCATCGCCGATGCGCTGCGATGCGGCGCGATTCTCCGACCCCATCCAAGTCTGGTGGCCAGAGTGCTCCCCCCAGGCAGGTCAGAGGAGGCGAGTTTTGAACCTCGAAGTCCGTGGTGCGAGCCTCGAGGATCACGACCAGAAGTCCACTTCGAGATTCTGGCCAGAATGTTGGGTTGGTCTGGGGAGCGGCGCTTGAGTAGGGTCTTCAGGTCTGGGCGTCACACGTAAACATTGACGGCTGGTTGTTCGACGTTTCTGGCTATTTCAGGTTAAAACTCAATTCGTGGATGGAAAATTGTTGGCCCCGTGGGCGGGGGCGAGACTTGTGGGGGACCACGCCACGAAAAGAAGGCACCCGTCAGAGGAGGGGGGAGAGCGATTGGCAATGGTACGAAGCAGGAAGGGACTTCGCAGGGTGAAGGGTGCAGGCACGAAGAGGGAATGGAGGGAGGGAGGGAGCAAGGCTGGAGGAGCGTGGAGGTAGGAGGGAGGGAGGTTGCGGAGGTAGGAGGGGCCGCGGGACGCGGTGGCAGGTCGTTGGCTGATCGGCGCATTGTCTAGTCCGCACGGCTGTCCGTGAAGATATGGGACGACGTTCGCGCGGCGACGTTTTAGCTCAAGTCCGACGTGAATGCGACGCGATCCGACGTGAACCCCACGAAGAACATCAGGCGTGGATCCGACGTAGTTTGGGCCTCGAGTTGCCGCGCGAGGCCTCCAGGATTTTCCCCATGATCACCGAGCGCGCTTCGCTACTCGCAACGTGCCTACTCGCAATCGTCAGAAACAAAACACATGTTCACCTCTACGTAAAGGATTCTAAATTCCTCGTGGTGGATCTGGGCCATTTGCGAGTAGCTACGTTGCGAGTAGTGGAACACGCTTGTCTACATGAGGCTGCGGGGTTCAGTGAAGGTTTAAGAGGAGGAGGAGGAGGAGGAGGAGGAGGAGGAGGAGGCGGAGGAACACGCTTGTCTACATGAGGCTGCGGGGTTCAGTGAAGGTTTAAGAGGAGGAGGAGGAGGAGGAGGAGGAGGAGGAGGAGGCGGAGGCGGAGGCGGAGGGGGAGAGAGGGGGCAGGAGGAGGAGGAGGAGGAGGAGGGGAGGAGAGGAGGAGGAGGAGGAGGAAGGGAGAGGAGGAGGAGGAGGAGAGGAGAGAGGAGGAGAGGAGGAGGAGGAGGAGGAGGAGGAGGGAGGAGGAGGAGGAGGAGGAGGAGGGGAGTATGAGGAGGAGGCGTAGGAGGAGGAGGAGGAGGAGGAGGAGGAGGAGGAGGAGGAGAGGGGGAGGAGGACGAGGAGGACGAGGAGGACGAGGAGGACGAGGAGGACGAGGAGGAGGAGGAGGAGGAGGAGCAGGAGGAGCAGGAGGACGAGGAGGACGAGGAGGACGAGGAGGACGAGGCGGACGAGGAGGACGAGGAGGACGAGGAGGACGAGGAAGACGAGGAGGATGAGGAGGACGAGGAGGAGGAGGAGGAGGAGGAGGAGGAGGAGGAGGAGGAGGAGGAGGAGGAGGAGGAGGAGGAGGAGGAGGAGGAGGAGGAGGAGGAGGAGGAGGAGGAGGAGGAGGAGCAGGAGCAGGAGGGAGGAGGAGGAGCGCCGATTCTGGTCCCGCGCAGGCAGCTCGGGGGGCCGCCTGGGGCCCCTTCGGGGCCACTCCCTCCGTTCGGCCCCCGACTGCCCCCTCCCCCGCTTGGCATCGCTCGGGCGTGTGCATTTGTTCCCCGCGAGGACCGTCGAGGAGCCTCCTGGATCCTGCTACGAAGAAACACATCACACGAAGCCGAAGCATGCATGGGGAAGGGACGTGCGAGCGATGGCTGGCGAGTAGTGGAACGACCGATCGTTCAAGTTTGAACGATCTCCGCGGTGTCAGGAGCCAACGCCGGGGTCGACACTTCGCGAACCCGTCGTAGGTATTTTTCGATCTCCATGTTCCGCTCTACTTTGAGCGCCTTCCGCCTGTTATGATCGAGTGGCTTCACCCTTTCCGTCCTCTTAGGGGGGCGGACGGGGCCCAATCTATGTTCAACGCCTCCTACTTCATGTTTCTACCTGCTTCTTCCGACAGATGGTGAAGAGGGACGCGTTGTCGCAGGCGATCTTGCTCCCCAAACCCCTGACTTTTTGAGGGGGGCCCTGGGATACACCCCGAGGGGGCTATTCGGACGCACCCCTTATCGAGGATGGACGCCCCCCCTCGTATATCCTTGGGTTGTGCCCATCATTTCTGTTCCATTCGAGAATCCTCCTAACGCCTGGGATAGGGGTCGACATATCCCCTGTTATGACCCTTTGCTGGAGTGACGTTTGGTGCGGGCTCACTGGTGTCCCCCGATCGCCGAACGCGCTGCGGTAGTGGCGTCTTGAGCGGCTGTGTTTGGTCCCCCCGCGGCCCCCGCACAGCCGCGCACCAAGGGTCACTCTTACTCGGGGTCACTCTTGCGTGTGGTCGAGTAATGGGGTAGCGATAAATCGGCGTCACCCACATACAGTCGAGGCTGATTGGTAGGTCAACCTTGCCAATTCAAAGGTGCCCTTGTTTCCTGTGTTTCGCGACCCATGCCTTTTGCATTCCTGTGGCAACGTGGCCCTCGGAAGGGTCTCGTGCCCTCTTGCGTGTCCTCTCCGAACAAACTCGACTGTACTAACACGAAGTGTGCGTCGCCCACGCATGGGCGACGCGTGCGCCAAGAAGTCTTATGGTATGTGCTTGGTGGCATGCACTTTCGGGCCATACCGCTCGGGAAACGATGCAGTACAATATTTTGTACTATGTGATCAGGCCGGACGCGCGTCTCCAACAGAGGCGCATCGTGCTAGCATGTCCTCATGCGTCCGAGTAAATGGGGGGGTGAAGAAGGGCTCTCCTGTTCTGCCCTCGAGGGGCCCTCTATGGTCCCCCCTGGGGCCCAAAAGGGTGACCAAAGGTGCGCGTTTCTCCCCACCCTCCCCCACTTATCGCCCCCCCCAATTCAACAATGCCCGACGAACGCCGCCGGAGGCAGGATCGCCCGCTGTCGAGCGCTCTCGCCGCGATCGCTGGAGGCCAGAGGGGCCAGGGCGGTGTCGGAAGCCAGCGCCGACGCCATCGCCACGCCCACCTGCCGCTCTGCCCCGCGCCCGAGGACAAGGACGGGAAGGTGGAGCCCGCCGACGACCGCAAGGGCCGCCCCTTCGTGGTGGGCGTCGACGACTGGGCGCAGCAGCGCGTGGCGGACCAGATGAAGAGGCGCGCCCCGATCAGCGACCCGGACGCCGGGGCTTGGCATGGAGGAGAGGGGCCCTGGAGGAGATACGGGTCTTTCTCTTTTGGTCCTCACCCTTTTCGGTCTCCCGGGGCCTTCCTGGGGCCCCGGGACCGTCCAAGACTGCACCAGCCGAGCAAAAATTGGCCACGGGGAGGGTCCTGGGGTTCAGGACCCGTTTCCCTCAGGACCCCTTTTCCCTCAGGGACTCCTTCCTCTTTTGTTGCTTCCTTCTCCTCCTCCTCCTCCTCCTCCTCCTCCTCCTCCTCCTCCTCCTCCTCCTCCCCCTCCTCCCCCTCCCCCTCCTCAGCCATTTTGGCTCATGCCATTCATCAGCGGATGAACGCTCTACTGCTCAAGCTGGGTCAGCATGCCTTGCGGTGGCGGCCGCTGGGGGTTCTCTGGTGTGGAGGTGGCTGTGGGAGGTGCCCCTGCCGGTGGCGCCAGTGTTTTGTCTCGTGCCTCGCGGAGGTCTCGCCCACGTGTTTCTCGGGGGCGGCAAAGAGGGGGGGTGATGACTAGGGGGGGTGGATATCATGCCGGGGGCCATGATATCTCCCCAGATTTCATGGCGCCTCTTCTTGTTTCATGACGTCCATGGCCCCCCCTTGGGCCGCGCACATGCCGCCGGCCACGATTTGCGCCCCCCCCCCCCTCTTGGACGCCCCCCTCTTGGTCGCTCCCGAGTTTCTGCTGATCGTTTCGTGCATCGTATTTCCAGCGAGATGGGCCAGCTCACCGCACAGCTGCAGCTGGCTGAAGAGGCGCTGTCGCTCATCGTGGGGGGCTCGGAGGTGGGGTCACGGCTTCGGGCGGCGGTCCTTGCAATTTTGGCCCTCGTGCTCCGCAGGAACGTTGCGCTGCACTCCGAGGCGGAGGGCATCGATGTAGAGTGCGCTTCGACTGCCCACCTTCGTCGTGCGCAGCACGGGGCTGGGCTGGAGGCGAAGGCGCTCCTCGGCCGGTGCTCGCCATGCCAGGCTTCCCGCTTGCGCGCCGACGCGCTCGAGTTCGTCCCGAGCCCCTTCGCCTGCGGGGTCCAGAGCAGCTGCGCATGCCATTGCGTGCTGTTCTCGTCGTGCCGCTGGGTCCCATCGCCGTGCCCGAGGCGCTGGTCCTCGTGCTGCCGCAGGCCGAGCCCCGCGACACCCCCGGGCCAGCCGAGGACCACCGGTGCCTGGGCGTGGTGCTGCTGCCGCTGGTGGGGCCCCCCGCTGGCCCCGCCCCAGGTCTCGCGAGGAGCGCGATACCGCTGGGGCGCCAGGGCAGAGCAGGGCTCGTGTCGGTTCCTCCGATTCGATGCGATCCGATTTCGATGGATCCCGATGCCGACTTCGACTCCGGATTCCGATCTGGGTTCCGATCTCTCAGTGGGCGCACACGGGCCTGCCGATCTTAGCCGACCCGCCTTTTCCCGACTCGGCTGCCAGTGTCCGCCGATCCGGTTCGTTTCGATCGCCGATCCGACTGGGCTCTCCTGGGGCAGTGTGGCGACCGTCCCGTGCCTCCTTCCTGAAGCTGCTGGCGGTGCCGCCCCCGCGGCCGTCTCTTCTCTGGCAGCCGCGAGGGCTTCCGCTCGACCCTGGCGAGGGCTTTCTTTCGCCGGATGTCGGCGTGCTGCTGATGTTCAGCAGACTTGAGAGTTCTTGTGCGTGTCGTCGGACTCCGTCGGCTCTGGCATGCTTTTCCCAACCATCCTGTGGTGTTGGGTTGTTCTTTGAAGAGGCAGCGCCCCACGTTCCTCGCTCCTTCCTCCCCCTCCTCCTCCTCCTCCTTCTCCTCCTTCTCCTCCTCCTCCTCCTCCTCTCATCCACGTCTCGTGACCTCCTAGGCGCACCCCTCACACGCTTCGTGGCCCCATAGTGGGCTCCACCGAAGGCCACAGTGGCTGCGTTCGCATGGCACCGCCGCACCCATGTCGGCACATTCTTCACTCGTTTCGTGGCCCCACAGGGAGCTCCACCCCAGGCCACGGTGGTTGCATCAGCATGGCACCGCCGCGCCCGTTTCGGCACACCCTGCACACGTATCGTGGCCTCATTGGGGAGCTCCATTGATGGCCCCAGTGGCTACGCTCGCATGGTACAGCTGCACCCGTGTCGGCACACCCCTCACACGTTTCATGGCCCCATAGGGAGCTCCACCGAAGGCCCTGATAGCTGCTTTCGCATGGCACCGCCGCACCCGCTTCGGCACACACCTCGTACGTTTCATGGCCCCGTAGGGACCACCACCGACGGCCCCAGTGGCTGCGTTCGAATGGCACCGCCGCACCCGCTTCGGCAGACCCGTCACACGCTACAGGGAACTCCACCGAAGGCACCAGTGGCTGCGTTCGCATGGCGCCGCCGCACCCGTTTCGGCACACCCATCACACGTTTCATGGCGTTCGCATGGTACCGCCGCACCCATGTCGGCACACCCCTCACACGTTTCGTGGCCCCATAGGGAGCTCCACCGAAGGCCACAGTGGCTGCATTCGCATGGCACCGCCGCACCCCACACCCCTCGTACGTTTCGTGGCCCCGTCGGGAGCTCCACCGAAGGCCCCCCCAGTGGCTGCGTTCGCATTGCGCCGCCGCACCCGTTTCGGCAGACCCCTCACGCTCCATGGCCCCAGAGGGAGCTCCACCGAAGGCCTCACTGGCTGCGTTGGCATGCCGCCGCCGCGCCCGTTTCGGCACCCCCTTCTCACGTTTCGTGGCCCCACAGGGCCACACAGGGCTCCACCAAGGGCCCCCTTTTTGCGTTCGCATGGCACCGCCGCGTCCATTTCTGCACACCCCTTACACGTTTCGTGGCCGCATAGGGAACTCCACCGAAGGCTCAATTCGGTGCGTTCGTATGGTACCGCCGCACCCATGTCGGCACACCACTTAAACGTTTCGTGCTCCCCGAACGGGCTCCACTGAAGAGATACTCACAACCACGCTATTCACAACTGCGTACGGTTGGGTTCTCCCAACTCACCTTGTGGTGTTGAGTCCTGGCTTTGAAGAGACAACGCCCTGCGTCACCTCCTTCCTTCTTTCTCCCATTCCTCCTCCTCCTCCTCCTCCCCCTCCTCATCCTCCTCCTCCTTCTCCTTCTCCGTCTCCTTTTCCTCCTCCTCCTCCTCCCATCCCTGCCTTTGCCCTCCGCATGTCCACTTCGGCAGACCACTCACACGTTTCGTGGCCCCACAGGGGGCTCCAGGTAAGGCGCAATCGCCATGGTCTGCATGGCGTCGATGCCTCATGTCGACACGCCCTTCACATCTTTCGTGGCCCCATAGAGCTCCAGCCAAGGCCCAACTGTCAGGGTTCGCATGGCGACGGTGCTTCATTTCGACAAACCCCTCACGCGTCGTGGCCCCACGGGGGGCTTCAGCTAAAGCCCAACTGCTAGGGTCCGCATGGTGTCGTCGCCTAATTTCGGCACACCCCTCGCATGTTTCGTGGCACCATTGGGAGCTCCAACTAAGGCCCAACTACCAAGGTCCACATCATGGCGTAGGTGCCTGATGTCAGAAAGAGCGCGTGCGGTGGGCGCTTGGACGGGGGGGGTCCGGACGGTCCAGAACTGGCCCCCCCTTGTTCAAAGGGGTGGGGGCGGTTTCGAACCCCTCCCCCCTCCCCCTCCAGGGGGAAGGGAGGGGGTTCGAACCCCCCCCACCCCGTGCCTGCGCCGGCGCCAGCGGCGGCGCCCCTCTCCCCCTCCTGGGGCGGCGCCGGCGACGGCGGCGGCTGTCGGCGGCGGCGGGGAACGTCGACGGGGTTCCCACCCTTTCCCCAGGCCGGCGCTGGCGCCGGTTGGCGGCGGCGGCGGTGGTGGCGACGACGACGACGACGACGACGGTGGCGGCGACGTCGACGACGATGACGACGACGACGACGATGACGTCGACGACGACGACGACGGCGACAACGGCGACAACGGCGACGACGTCGACGACGGCGACGACGTCGACGACGGCGACGGGCACCACGACGACGACGACGACGACGACGGCTGCGACGACTGCGGCGACGACGAAGACGACGACGACGCGGACGACGACGACGACGACGACGACGACGACGGCGGCGGCGGCGACGACGGCGATGACGACGACGGCGACGACGACGACGACCACGACGACGGCGACGACGACGACAAGCACGACGACGACGACGACGGTGACGACGATGACGACGCCGACGACGGCCATGACGGCGACGATGGCGACGACCACTGCGACGACGACGACGACGGCAACGATTGCGACGACGGTGCTGACGATTGCGGCGACGACGACGGCGGCGACATCGACGACGACGACGACGGCGACGACGACGACGGCGACGACGACGAGCACGGCGACGACGACGACGACGACGACAACTACGGCGAGGGCGACGGCGACGACGACGACGACTACGGCGAGGACGACGACGACGATCGCGACGTGGGCGTCGACGACGACGACGGCGACGGCGACGACGGCGACGAGCACGACGGCGATGGCGACGACGACGGCGACGAGCACGTCGACGGCGGCGACGACGGCGACGACGATGACGGCGATGACGGCGACGACGACGACGACGACGACGACGGTGGCGGCGACGTCGACGACGACGGCGACGACGACGACGATGACGTCGACGACGGCGACGACGGCGACGTCGATGATGACGGCGACGTCGACGACGGCGACGACGGCGACGTCGACGACGACGACGACGACGGCGACGACCACGACGACGACGACGGCGACGACGGAGACCACGACGACCTCGACGACGACGACGACGGCGACCACGTCGGTGACGAAGACCACGATGACTTCGAGCATGACGATGATGACTACGATGATGACGACGATGACGTCGACGACGACGACGACGACGGCGACGACGACGACGACCACGACGGCGACGACGACGATTTCGAGCATCACGACGGCGACGACGACGACGACGGCGACGACGACGACGGCGGCGACGGCGACGACGGAAAGCGCGGGAGGCACGCGACGCATCGTGAAGTCCAGGCCCGTAAATACTCTGGGCTCGACATTCCATTGTTCACGGCTGAGGATACGATGTAATCGTCGTAATCGTCGTTGTCTTGTAATCGTTGTAATCGTAATCGTCGTGATCGATGTAATCGTCGTAATCGTCGCATTCATAGAGGGGGTCTTGTAGTCGCCGTTGTCTTCGGCCTGGTCGTCGTCGCCGCGTCGCTCCGTGGGCGCTGCCAGCCGGCGCCGGCACCGGGGGGGGGGTTCGGGGAGGGGGTGGGGAGGGGGGACGGGAGTGCCCCTGGTTCGAGGAGGGAGGAGGGGTCGGGGAGGGGGTGAGGCGAGGCGGTCGGGGAGGGGTCGGGGAGGGGGAGGGGAGGGGACGGGAGTGCCCCTGGTGCTGTTCGACGGCGCCGAATGTTCGGGGGGGGGGGCCTTCACCCCTGTCAAGCGCGCCGCCGAAGGCTCCCCGGGCTAGCGCCCGTGGAACGCGCTCCCTCGCATGTCCGCGCACCCCTCGCGTGTCATGGCCGGTATGGGCCTCCAGCGAAGGCCCAGAGTCGAGGGTCCGCATGGCGTCGGTGCCTCAGTTCGGCACGCCCCTCACACGCTTTGTGGCCCCACAGAGAGATCGGGGGCGGCAGAGAGGGGGGTGATGACTAGGGGGGGATGGATTTCATGGCGTGGGCCATGATTTTTCCTCAGATTTCATGGCGCCTCTTCTTATTTCATTGCGTCCCTGGCCCCCCCATGGGCCGCGCACATGCCGCCGGCCATGATTTGTACCCCTCCCCTCTTGGACACCCCCCTCTTGGCCGCCCCCGAAGAGAGCTCCAGCCGTGGAGTTCGCGCGGCGTCGGCGCCCGCCTATCCGCCCCCCCCCACTCGCTTCGTGGCCCCCTCGGCAGCTTATGCGGATGCCCAGCTGCCAGGGTCCGCACGGCGTCGGTGCCTCGTGCCAGCAAGCCCCTGACACGCTTCGCGGCCCCACGGGGAGCTCCAGTTCTGACCCCACAGGCCAGGGTCCGCATGGCGTCGGTGCTTCCTTCTGGCACATCCATCACGCGTTTTATGGCCCCATACAGTGCTCCAGCTGCGGCCCACAGGCCAGGGGCCGCATGGCGTCGGTGCTTCATGCCGGCACACCGCTCTCACGTCTCGTGGCCCAGTAGAGGGCTTCAGCTACGGCCCATATGCCAGTGTTTCATTGCTTCGGTGTGTCCCCATGGGGAGCTCCAGCTAAGGCCCAACTGCCGGGATCCGCTTGGCGTCGGTGAGTCATTATGGCACGCCCTTCATATTTACCGTGGCCTCGTATCGGGACTTCAGCTGAGGCCCCAAATGCCAGGGCTCGCATGGCGTAGGTGTTTCATGTCGGCACACTCCTCACACATTTCGTGGCCCCATAGGCCACAGGGAGCTCTGGCGAAGGCCCAACTGCCATGGTTCGCGCACGGCGTCGGCGCTTCATTTCGGCACATCCCTCACGCGTTTCGTGGCCTCATATGGAGCTCCAGCTGCGCCTCAAATGCCAGGGTTCGCATGGTGCCGTAGGCGATACTCACAATGATTGTATTCACCACTGAGTATGATTGAGTCCTTTGCCATGTTTTTTTTTGGTGGGTCTGGAGCGTGCTCGTGCGGTGTGTGTTGTATGTGGCGTCTCGTAATGGCTCAATATGGCTTCCAGGCACATTGTGTGCGTGGAGCAGCTGACATCTACGATCGTGTCTTCGGACTCCGTCGTCGTGGGCAGGGGGGTCATTTCTGATTGAGTGTCTCACTGCATTTTTGCTCCTATTCGAGTTGACGCTATAGCTGGCCTTCTTCATCACGTTCTTCGCCTCCTACTAACGGGTCCTTGGTAGTTGATGCCGAACATGCTTCTGTTCCTCTTCCTCCACCTCCTCCTCGACCCGATGATCCCTCAGGACCCTCTGGAACACGCAAGAACCCCTGGACTCACTTATCCATGTAAAGCCTGCTTCTACTCCTCCTGCTCCCCCCCGTTCCAGAAACTCCCGGAACGACTTCAGGATTTCTTCCCAGAAAGCATCCGTCTCCCCCCCGGGCATTATGACGTTCTGCTACTTCTTCGGCCGCCTTCTTGGTCCTCTTCAGCACGGCTGCATCTGGCTCGAAGTCTGGGTCAACGCGCGCCTACGGGGATGATGGAGTTGCGATTCTGAGACGGCGTTGCGAGCAATCACGACGATCGTTTCCCGCTAAACCTTGGCCCCAGAAGCCGTTTTCGGACCCTCCTGGGTCATGAAGAAGCGATTCGCGATGAGAATACTCGGAGGAGGAGGAGGAGGAGGAGGAGGAGGAGGACAAAGAGGAGGAGCCTGGTCAGCAGGCTGAGCAGGATCGTTCATATCAATGAGTGACAAGGGGGACGTGTGGAGGTTGAAGCGGTTCTGGGTTTTCTTTAGTATTCCACCAGGTTTCAGGAGATCTAGGAGGGTGATGTGGAACTGGAGGACTACAAGAAGCGGGTGTGGGGGCATAAGTTGAGGTTTTAGAAAGAGAGAGCAACAGGCGGGCGAAACATTTCGTAAGGAGCAACAGCGAGGATGACAACGTGGTCCTGTGGGAAGAGGTGACGGCGGTTGCGAAGGAAACGGAAGAGGAGGAGGATGATGATGATGAGGAGGAGGAGGAGGACGAGGAAGAGGCGGAGAACGAGGAGTCACGATGGAGAGGGGAAGGGGGAGGAGGAGGAGGAGGAGGAGGAGCAGGAGGAGGGCAGGCTACATCCATAGGATCTTGCAGCCACCAGGAACCAGGAACCAGGAAGAGGCGGATGAGGAGGAGGAGGAGGAGGGGGAGGAGGAGGAGCAGGCGGAACAAGAGGAGGAGGAGGAGGAGGAGGAGGAGGAGGAAGGATGAGGAGGTGAAAGAAAAGGAGGAGTGAGGCGGAGGAGGAGGAGGAGGTAGAGGAGGAGGAGGACAGGAGGTAGGAGGAGGAGGAGGAGGAGGAGGAGGAGGAGGAGGAGGAGGCAAGAGGAGGAGGAGGGAGGACTACGTCCTGAACGTGGGGGACAACTTCTACTGGGGCGGGATCCTCACCGACTGCGGGAAGCCCGTGAGTGAGCACGAGGACAATAACGACCAGTGGGGCCAGATCTTCGAGCGGATGTACTCTCCAGTATGATGGTGGTGGTGGTGATGATGTTGATGATGCTGTCATTCATTATGCGGATTGTGTTCGCGATGCTTCTACTAGCGGCGCATGCTGGCGCCGGTACGCACGTAGTAATGTGCATGCATTGCCCCGTGTATCGAATGATGGTAGACAAAGGGTGAAACGTGTGCAGACGTGCTCAGGAGTACGAAACATAATGTTATACACAACCGATTTGTTTACTTTCGGGCGCAGTACTCCGTGTAGCCAATGCGTGGAGTAACAGGCTTCTCGCTTTCTGTGCATTGGATCAGCGGAGCAATCGGAGCCGGCTACCCAGTGTATTGGATATACGGAGTTTTAGGAGCTAGTATTCCGTACATCGGGTACACAGAGTGATCGAGGTTTCGTAGTCCAGTGCGTCCAGTGCATACACGGAATAACATCAGCCGAGTGTTCCAGGGGCCTACGACGCCTCGCATAGGATTTTCTTGTTCCGTGTATCCACTGCACGGAGTCCCGGCCTGGGAGCCTCTCACTCCAGGAGCCTATTTGTCCGCGTCTTGGGTGCACGGAGTACTTGGGTCCCTCCTGCTCTGCTGTTCTGCACGAAAGGACGCGGGCACGCGCAGTGATCGGAGCCGCTTGTCCTGTACTCGGAGCAAGAGGAGTCCAGCTCTCCGTGTATGGGGTGCACGGAGTAATAAGAACCCATTTTTCCGCGTTTCCGGTTCACGGGCTACGACGGGGCGGTCAGTCTGGTACACGGAGAGTCATGGAATTAGCATTCTGTGTAGTGGGCGCACGGAGAAAAAGTAGCTCAGTATCCAGCTGCCTCCGGCAAGTCCCGCCTCTGTGCCTGCTTTGTGGTCTATAAGTCTAGTGGACGTTCGCTGGAATCTCGTGGGAGGCCTCTCGGTGGCCTCCTGGAGGCAGTTTTGAAGCCTCTGGGGGCTAGTTTTGGGGCCTCTTGGGGGCCTCTTGGGAACCTCTTGGGGCTTGTTGACTCTTGGGGCCTCTTAGGCGCCTGTTGGGGCCTCCTGGTTCCCTTGGGGCGAAAGGCTTTGAATTGCGGTTCGTGTTCTCTCTCTGGGGCCGCTCTTTGGGGCCGCTTTCGGGCCGTTTTGAGGCCCTCTGGGGCCGTCTTGGGCGCCTCCTGGGCCGCCTTGGGGTGCGCTTAGGCCGTCTTGGGGCCCTCTTGGAGGCCTCTTGGGCAGTTTTGGGGTGGTCTTGGGCGCCTCTTGGGCCGTCTTGGAGCGTCGGACAGCCGAAAATGCGTGAACGCCTCAATCCTTCAAACACGTAAGGACCATCAATGACTTTTGCCTTTGGGGACACTCTTGGGGAGCCTCTCGGAGGCCTCCAGGGGCGCCTTGGAAGCCTCTTGCGTCATCTTGAGGCCATCTTGGGCGTCTTCGGGCGATCGTTCGGCGACTCGGGACCCTCCTGGACCGAGAGCCCCAGGGAGGCGCCATGGCCGCCCAGGGCCCCCCCCCGGAGAGTAGGCGGTGCTCGCGGGGAGGTGCGGCCGAGAGAGGGTGGGTCTCTTAGGAGAATGCAAAAACCCTATCAGACAGCGCTTGGCATTCTAGCACGCCTCAACATCAACGTGCCAGGGGGCACGGTGGCGGATCCCGTGAATCAAATTTACACTCGCGCTAACAACAACCTGCTACTCCCCGGGCTCATTCCTCCGTGTATTGGACCACGGATTATTGGGAATTTTAATTCCGCATCATCATCATCATCATTATTTTCATTATCCATAGCCATTTTGGCTCAAGCAGCCTGCTCGCCCAGCCCCTGGTTCGAACTGGCGACGATCATGGCCGACGCGATCGCGAAGGCTCTCCTCGGTGCTGTTGTGCGCGCTGGCGGTTCTCGGCAATGGGTGGCGGCCCCAATGGTGGCCCTCTGGCGAGCGGCCCAGGCTGGCGGCGGCAACTTGAAGGTCGAGGACAAGGGACAAGGAGGTTGATCACGTGATCCAGGCTCTGGTCGAGCTCATCAAACCCGTCCTGCGAGTGAAGGTCGAGGCGGCGGTCCGTGACGGGCCGATGGAGATCGACGACGGGGCGACGGCGTTCCGGAACGTCGCGGAGCATGGTCTTTTCGGGGTGGGCGCGGAGGCGCTGCCCCAGTGCGAGAAGGAGTCCAAGCGGCAGCAGAAGGGGGCGGTGGCGTCGCGCCCGTGGCGCAGGACACGGCCATCGTCGGCATCAACCGCCACTTCGATAACAAGGTCGAGATGCGCCAGTTCGAGTTCGTCGGCAAGGACGCGGTGCTCCCAGAGAAACTCGTTTCCGCCAGGTGGCCGCCAAGAACGGCTCCAAGTCCGAGCAGGTCGAGGAGCTGACGACATGGCCAGAAAGCGGAGTTCGAGCCACCCTCGAAGTTCATGAAGGAGGTGCAGGCCGACAAGGCTAAGAAGGCAGTGGTCTCCACGTGCGTGGCGGACTCTTCCTGCGTGCGCGAGTCTACCGAGTTCGACTGGTCCGTCAACGTGGGGCACTTCGCGAAGGCGCAGGCCCCGACGGAAACCAACACTAACCAAGCCGTGTCGAAAATGAAGGGCGCGGGTTAGAGTAAGACCTGCGATGCTTTCGAAGAGTGCAACACGTGCGTCGTCGGCGAGGGCAAGGGCGCCCTCAGCTCCGGAGGCTGAGGGCGTCGCGGAGGCTGAGGGCGTCGCGTCCGCGGGGCTCAGAACCGAGGTTGAAGGCCCTGGGGCCGCCGACGTAGCGCGGCGCTCCTCCTGCCCGTGTGTGAAAAGAAGGGAATTACCGCTTCCCTCGCTTTATCGGCGTTGCCGGGGTCGTTCTGAGCCCGCCCGCCTCTCCGTCTTTATTTGTTTCGGCTGACTTGGCAAACCCGCCGGCGATTTGCATTGAGTTGCGCGGCGCTTATTGGCGTCCAGCTGCGCGCTGCGCGCCGCCGCAGCAGCGCGGCGGCGTTGCGCTCGCTTTCCTGCCTCGTGCCCGCGTGGGCGAGCGTCAGTGGCAAGTGCTGGGGTGTTTCGGGAGGCTGAAGGGGCACTGGCGCCGCCCATCCGGTGCGCTCAGGCCCGCGCAGATTGCGGAAGGCCTGTCGCGGGAAAACAATCACGGCCATCGTCATCGCCACTTCCCTCCTTTCCCTCCTCGCGCGGAGTGACAGTGAGGGGGTCAGGGGGAAAAGGAGGAGGAAGAGGAGGGAAAATAATGAGGAGTTGGAGAGAGAGGGGGCGCGATGAGGAGGATGAGGAGGAGGAGGGGGGGGGGAGGGGGAGGGGTAGGTGGAGTATGGCGCTGGAAAGCCCAAGTCATGGGAAACGCCGTCACAACCAGATAAACATAAGTGCGGGCGGCAGGCGCTCTGTGACCACCCTTGGAAAAGTTCAACGAAACGAACAACGCTTCCAAAGATGATGCGGAATTTCCCTTCGGACGTTTCCCTTCGCGCGGTTTCCCCTGGGCTGCAACTTCTTCCCTGCGTCCTACGTGGGGTTCTCGTTCCCCATGTTCAACGTTTTTTTTGGTTTCCCCCCCCCGATCCCCCGTGCATGATCTCCCCCCCCCCCCTTTCCTCAGCGCTCTCGCACGCGCTCGTGCATGCTCGCGCTCACGCGTTCACTATCATCACCATCATCACATTTACCATCACCATCGCCATCAACATCATCATCATCAGCATCATCATCCGCATCCATGCATTCTCATATCTTCACAGTAAACCATCATGCAATCACCCCATGCGCATCACAATCTTCATATTTACCGCCCGTAATGTCATCAACATCGTCACCAGTACCACATCACACGTGCTGGCGCTGAGTTTGCTGGGAGCAACGCTTCCGCCAGCTAGCCTGCCAGGGGCGCGACTTGGACGGGGTTGCTTATAAAGTGGTAGGGTGGACGGGGTCCTTGATTGCGAAAGTGGCATGACATGAAGCGCGCCCGAGCGCAACCCAAGGGCCCGTCCATCCAGCCATCTCATGCGTCCACTGCTGTATTCTCATTATTGCCCATTTGGTGCGGCCATCTTGCACGGTGCCCTTTATCTGTCGGAGGTCGCGGTCTTGTTGGGGCTCGTGCTCGCTTGTCGCCATGCTGAAGTCTGGAAGTGCGGCTCTTTCAACCGTTCAACCATAGAGCCTGTCGACGGGCGCTGCTTTGCCGAGGTCGCATGTTTCACGCGTTCGGTTTCTTCGAGCTGCACTCAGCTGCCTTTGGGGCGCAGCCTAAACTGCCCTCGCTGTTTTTGATCCCCCTCGTGCAGGTGGTGGAAGCGGAAATTGAAGGGGCAACAGTGGTGTGTTTCGCGTCAGCCATCGCATCCCTTTGCCCATTCTCCGCGCGCCGGTCGCCGCCGCGCTCGGGGAGGCTCTGCTCCGCTTTCTGGCCTGCACGCCTTCGCGTGCACTCTAACTGACGCTGCGGGCGAAGAGGCGCACGTGCTCCACTGCTCGCTTTCACAGCTCGTTAAAAAATGACAAAACAACATGAAACAACAACATCGGAACACGCAGGACAGGAGAGGAGGAAGGGGGAGGATGAGGGGGATGGAGGGGGATGAGGAGGAGGAGGAGGAGGAGGAGGAGGAGGAGGAGGAGGAGGAGAGGAGAGGAGGAGGAGGAGGAGAGGAGGAGGAGGCGGAGGAGGAGGAGGAGGACGGGGAAGAGGGGGAAGGGCAGTGTAATCCCAAGACTGATGTATGACATTGCAATGAACCCTCCTTCGAAGCTTCCTCTTCCTCTCACTGATGGAAATGCCCCGTTGGGCGACAACCCCGTAAAAATCTGAAATTGTAGCAGAACGCCATTCCTGGGACGCCAACGCCGCGAATCACAGATACAGTGGCGTCTTGAAGATCCTGAATCGTGCCTGAACACCATTCATGGGACTTCGACACCGCGAGCCCACGTGACTGTTGCGCCCTGACGTCCCGACATCGTGCGAACACCATTCCTGGGACGTTAACAGTGGAATTCTTTGGAATTTCTGTTCTTACAAAACACATTGGCGCGGCGCTATGGCGAGAGTTACATGTGGGAAAGGAACTACCCTTTATCCATGAAGCTCTTGCCAAATTCTTCACGCTTCGCGTATCCCCACCAGCCCATCTCAAAACAGCAACTCTAGCGAAGCATGCCGACAGTCGTGTTTTTCAGGCGTGTTTCCGCCTGCCCCCGCATCTCTCCCCTGTTCCTCCTTCCTCCCGCCTCCTTGTACATCCTCCTTGTGGTGGGAGCGGGAGAAGGACGAGGCGGAGGAGGAGGGAGAGAAAGCGCTCCTCGTGGTTTGAGTCGTTCGGGCTTCTCGTCCTGGTGTGAGTCGTTCGGGCCCTTCTTCCTGGTGTGAGTCGTTCGGGCTCTTCGTGGTGTGAGTCGTTCGGGCTCTTCGTCCTGGTGTGAGTCGTTCGGGCTTCTCGTGGTGTGAGTTGTTCGGGCCCCTCGTCCTGGTGTGAGTCGTTCGGGCCCCTCCTCCTGCCCGTCCAGAAACGACGCCCAGGCGAGTAGAGGGTCGTCCTGATGGGCTTTTCGGCGTCTTGGGTGCCTCGGGGGGGCCTCTTTGGGCCGTTTGGGATCCTCTTGGGGGGCCTCCTGGGGGCCTCTTGGGGCCATCTTGGGGCCTCTTGGTGCCTCCTGGGCGCTTCTTGGGGCCATCTTGGAGGAAATCGATCAAAGAAGAGGGGAGGTTTAATTAGCGCTGCCCCCTTCAGAAGGCCAAAATGGGGCCAACACCTTAGTAAAATCAATGATTTTGGCTTGAAAGAAGAGGGGAGCTTTAAATAGCGCTGCCCCCTCAGAAGGCCAAAATGGGGCCAAAACCGTGGTAAAATCAGTGATTTTGGCTTCAAAGATGGGGCGAGCATTTCCGTCAGTCCCCCCGTCGGGGCCAGAATCCTCGTGAGGGGTGTCGTTTTTTAGCCCTCCCAGGAGTCGAAAAAGACCCCTCCAACCACCCGCGAAAAGGCCCCCTCCAGGTCCAGGGGGAGGGGGTAGGGGGAGGGGTAAACCCCTCCCCGAAGGGGAAGAAGGGGGTTGAAAACAGAGAGAGCTCGCTAAACCACTCACGCCCAAAGGGCTGGTGGGATTTAGGACGGGTGTGCGCGGCGCTAAGGCGAGAGCCACATTTTGAAAAGGAGCCGTCCTCCATCCGTGAAGGTCTTGTATTTTTTTGAGACGAGTATTCGCGGCGCGAAGACGAGCGTCACATTTTGAAAGCGGCCGCCCTCCATCCGTGAAGATCTTGACATTTTTTGAGACGAGTGTTCGCGGCGCGAAGACGAGAGTCACGTTTTGAAAGCGGCGCCCTCCATCCGTGAAGCTCTTGCAAATTTCAAGCTTCACGACCATAACTTGTGAGGAAGCCGCAGGCGAAACGCCCGGCCCGCCCTTTTCACCGGCCTGAAGGTGCGACAGGGAGGATTGCATGTATATAGATGTATATATGTATATGTATATGTGTATATATATATGTATAAGGAAAAGGAAAAGGAATGGAGAAGCAGGAGGAGGAGGAGTAGGCACAGCAGACGGACTGCACGAGGTATACCGGCCCCGGGCTGGATGACAAGCAGTGGCTGGGAGTCCTTGGGAACCACGACTACGGCGGTTTCCACTTCACGGCCGGCTGGGATCAGGCGAGTCCCTCCCTCCTTATTACTCGTCCCGTCCCCTTCCTCTTCTGCTTTCTCTCGTCTCCCTCACCCCCCTCCTGCTCCTCATTTCCTTCCTTCTCCTGGCCCCTTCCATCCCATACGCCTGTCCTCGCACACCCAGCGCGGTGGCGTGAACGAGGGGGACACGCGACGTGTGGAGCCGCTGGCCGAGCTAGTGAGCGACCCCCCCCCCTGGCGCACGCAGCATGCGTAGTTCCTTCTCCCCAAACGCGCTTTCCCGGTGGGTCGCTGGCTCATCAAGCGGTGCTCTGCCCCACCGAGTCGAGCGGCCTGGCCCCGAGCGAGGATGGCAACGTGTGCGCAATGCGTGCGCAGGACCCGTCTTCGGCTTCAGAAACTCCACCGACGTTGTCCCAGACTCGTCATCGACGTGCCGTTGGCCTTGCATCCATGCGTGGACGAGGGAAGGCCCCCGCGCACGAGCAGTCCGAAACATGTATTTTTTCCGAGCTTTTGAACCCTCGGATCCTCTCATTCCTGGTCCTGAGATTCTGAACGCGTTTGCTGAAACACCTTCGACCTCCCAGCCAGCTTCTTTCTGCACTGCCTGATCACACCCCAGGCTGCTCTCCGCGACGACCCCCTCGAAATTGCATGTCTTGAGCTGGCCTACAATGCCGACCCCGTGGCCGAGTGGCTGGTGATCGTTTTCTTATTCCTTGTTTTGCCAATCGGCGCGGGCCCTCGCACTACCCCTCCCCCCCTGGAGTAGATCTTGGTTGTTTTTGGCGCATGTTTCGAGCAGGTGGAGTCCCCCTCCATAGGACGCACCACTGCAAACAGTCGCATGAAGCAGAGATCTGGAGCCAGACCCCCCCCTCCCCCCGTTCCGCCCAATGTCGAAACGCCGAATAAGAAAACGCACACCAGCAGCAGCTTCTGGAGTGCACGCGCAGAAAGTGCACTGTGGCCGCGGCAGCATTTGTGTGTGTGTGTGTGTGTGTGTGGTGCCCTGCCTGCCTGGCGCTGTTACACAGTGGGCCACGTCATGCAACTTGACGCGGGACGAAGCTCTCCCTAGTGCAGGGTTCGTTTCGATTCCTCCGATTCGATTCGATTCGGACTTCGACGGTTTCCGATTTCGGTTCGATTCGATTTTGGGTTCCGATTTGGGCTCCTATTTCTCAACGGAGGCCCACTAGCCTGCCGATTTCAGCCGATTCGACTTTTCCCGACTCGACTGCCGATTTCCGCCGATCCGATTCATTTCGATCGCCGATCCAACTTATCGATTCTATTATGGGCTCTCCTGCTAGTATGGTCCAGGGTGTCAACAGCATCGCACGCAACAGTGTCGAAGCGAAACCACGTCGAGCTATGATCCCTTCGACGGCCAAGACGGGGTTCCCAACGACGCCAATGACATTGAAACATCCTCTTCCCCGATGCGAAGAGAGCAGCTCAGCAGCTCGCGCAGCTGGATCAAGCTAGACTGATGCTTGACGGCCGCTACCGCCAGCAGGCAGTGGCAGACCTTATCAGGAACTTTTGTCAAATCTACCAGACAGTAGCTTGCGCAGCCTCCCGCACTCAAGTGGCGCTCGACTCCTCGGCTTCGCTCCCACACCGCTGGCTCGCAGCTCCTCCCATGCACTCTGTGCACACTGTCGCGCTGATTATCACGCTCCCGCCGCTTCATCTCGTCCCTGGGAGGCTGCGAGGAGACACGGGTCGGAGTGGGCAGCAGACCTGTGGGTCGAGCGCCTCCTCCGCACTTGCCTGGCATCGCCGAGCTCGTGGCGAGGGGCGCGAAGGTCCCCGGACGCTCCGTCTTCTGCCGCAGCTTCCCCAAGACCGTGAATAGGCCATCCGAGGCCTTATTCTCTTGCACAAAAGTAAACTCCTGGAGGAAGGAGGCGAAAGCCTCCTGTCTCTCGCAGCTCCTTGGTGCAAGAGCCAGGGCACGCGTGCCACTTGTTCCAGATCCCGAGGCCTCAAGTCATCAATGCCCATCGCCGTGGCGTTCAGGAAGCTCCCGAATTGCGCCTCCGGCGCCCCGGGACTCGGCTCCTGTGCAGCACCCCCCTGGGCCTCAGCTTGTGCCCGAGCCTGGTGCGTCGGAGTGCCGCTCGTGTCGGGAAGGTTGGTGGCCCGCCTGGGGCTCCCACACACGGCAGGGTCGCGTCGTGTCGACCAGCGGCGGCCCCGCCGCAGGCGTTCAACGTTGAGCGCCACCCGCGATGCAGAGTCGGGCGACGTTGAACGATCCGACTTCTTCGGGAACGGCCGATCGACCTGGGTGAAACGAACCCCGCGATGTCAGAGACAAACGCCAAAGCCGGCACGGCACGAACCTGCTGTACTTTTCCAGTTCTCGGTGAGCGTGTTTCAGGGGAGCGAAGGATGACATAAGCATACAACCTCGAAGGCCCGCGCGGATTTCTCGAATCGGCGCTGGAACCCCCCTCCCTGGCGCGCGGAGCGCGCCAGGGGCGGCGCCGGAGGCGCCGCCAGGGGGGTCCAGTGCGGATCCGAGAAATCCGCGCGGCCTTCGAGGTTGTATGCTTATGTAATTCTTATACCCTGTGCTTGCCTGCCCCTGCGGCCCAAGCGGCACTCGAAGCCCACCGGCCTCGATCGAGCTCGACGCAGGCGGGGCCCCGCCGATTGGGCTTTGCGAAGGCTGGTGCGCCTGGCCAGCGCCTCGGGATTGCGGCCTCCTCTGTGGCACCGGAGCTCTCCACCCCTCGTGCTCAAGCTGCCATGCGAAGCCTTCGGCCTCCGCAGCCCACGTGGCGAGCCGAGCAAGCTATGCATAGCACGTACTTCCGAAAGGAGGACCTCACTTCTGCCAGACCTCATCCTCGTGCAGCTGTGCGGGTCCCTCTCGACCGCCCTTCAGGATGCCCATGGGCTCAGATTCTTCCCAGACGAGGCTCCGCCTTTTGATTTCCGCCAACTCCGACAGCAGCTTGAATCTTACGCCACCCCTGACTCTCAGGGCTTCCCATGGGGTGTTTCCTCCAGCCGTGCGAAGCGCCGAAGCCTTCATGATGATGGGCTCTTCGGTCCGTCCACATGTTCTCCTCCTGCTCCTCGTCCTTCCTTTCCTCCTCTTTCTCCTCCTGCTCTCTTTCCCCATCCCCCCCCCTCTCTCGTCCCTCCCGCCCGCGCCCCCATCCTCGCCACTCTCCTCTCCTCACCCCTCTTTCCTCGATGGTCGTCGTCGGCCCAGTCGTCGTCCTCGTCCCCGTCCCCGTCTGCGTCGGCGTCCTCGTCCCCGTCGTCGTCGTCCTCGTCCCCGTCCCCGTCGTCATGCTCGTCGTCGCCGCCGTCGCCGTCGCCGCCGTCGGCGCCGTCGTCGCTCTCCTCGGTTTCGCGGCCTCCGCCCTCGGCTTCGGGGCCAGGTGATCTCCTACACGTGGGGAGGCCTCGAGGCCAGCACGGGCCGGTGGTTCACGCCCGCCCAGCACTACAGCGCGAAGGCGGCCCGCCCTGCCCAGGCGAGCAAGGAGGATCATTAGCAGACCCAGGGTGCGTCAGCGATGCTGCAATGCGCGCTCCCCTTCCCACCCCCGGGGGGTCCCCTCTCGGCGTCGAGCCCAGGGGGGATGCGAGAGGAGGCAGGCCTCCTCATGAGGCTGCGGGGCTTCTCAGAAGCCCTCGCGCCCTCTGAGGAGTTTCTGTGTTTGCGGGGAAGGCTTAGGAAACTTACACCCTCAAGGCCTTCCGAGCCTTCTGAGCAGGCCCGCCCCCTCTGACTTCCCCCTGGGCTCGACGCCGATCCTCGGGAGTCCCAACATGTACTTCGTTTCCCTGTGGACACGGCCACCCTCAAATACCCTCCCCGCATAGCCCGCCATTCAGGCAATCTCCCCGTTTTGAAAAGGCATTGCCATCTGTGCGTGCGACAGTCGAGCAGAGTGAAGTTGCTCTGCCAACATCTCAAGATATCGGAAGCGAGATCTCCGTTTTGATGTTCCACCGCCCTCCATCGGTGGAGCTATTGCGCAGTTTAGAGGTTGGTTTTAAAGACTAAGGATGTCTCGATGCGAGACCCAAACCATACAACATAACCGCCCTTTATCTTTGTAACCGTTGAACATTTTAGTGGAACATTTGCGCAACGCTCAGGCGACAGCTGCATTGTGCAACCAATCATGTATGACGTTTTGACGTTACCTAGACGTATGTACGCGGTGCTGACGCGCGTGTTGCATTTTGAAAGCCGTGCGATCTTCAATCGTGCAACGGTCTGTGGGGGAGGTCGCGGCGCTGAGGCGAAAACTTCATGGTGAAACCGGTGCGCCTGAAAACCGCTTCACGCTTGGATGTTTCAAGTTTGAGGACCAAGTTTCTGATCAAGTCTCAAACGCCACACTGGGCCCGTCTTGCCCATACATCTGGGAGTGTGGTGATTTTGATCTCTATGGGGGTACGGATGATGATGGTAGTGGTGGTGATGATACTGATGGTGATGATGATGATGGTTGTGATGCAGCAAAACGGGGGTGAGGAAGGAGCAGGAGGGGGAGGAGGAGGAGGAGGAGGAGGAGGAGGAGGAGGAGGAGGAGGAGGAGCAGGATCAGGAGGAGATGGGGCAGGAGGAGGAGATGGGGCAGGCTGGATAGGGAGGAGGTCGGGAGAGGATTGCGAGGGTGAGGAGGTTCATGATGAGGGAAAAGGAAGAAGCAGGATGCGGATGAGGGGAACCAGAGAGGATGGATGGAGGAGGGGTGAGGAGGAAGGAGGTGATGCAACGAAGGTGATAACAAGCTGCTGGTCGAGTGATGTAGTGTGATGGCTGTGCTTTCGTTTGAACGTCGTTCTGGAGACGCTCGCACGACACGTTTTGACTCTACGGGCTTACGCCACATCCGCCGACCCCTTCTGTGAGTGTTGCGAGGCCAGGAGTTTCTGGCCAGCGGCGTCTTGTGTGAGGGTGCGGTGTCGCGCGCGGGTGGTGGCAGATACGTAGGGGGTCCAAATGTTTGCGTGATGCCGGTGGTCTGGGGCGTGTTTTGCGAGCGCTTTGCGTGCTGTGCACCCGGGTGCGGGGTGTCCTTCTGGGAGGTCGGCCTTTCGACCCGCAACCAAGTGGAGGAGCACTGGAAGACGAAAGGAGCAAGAGTAGTGTGTGGAAGCTGTGATCAGCGAAGCATCACAGCGAAAGATGTGGCAGATGAATCGAAAAGGGTGAAGAGGCTGTTGACGTTCGCAGCGCGCGCGAAACAGTTCGCGCGGCAGCAGCACATTAGCGCCGAGCAAGATAGTGAGCACGTCGCGAGGAAGAGTAAGGTTGTACGCGCGGAGTGCATTGCAGTTGGCGTGGCGGCTCGCAATACGGAAGCGTCTGGGGGTCTTTTGCGGGCCTCCTGGGGGCCTCTTGTGGGCTCCTTGGGGCGTCTTGGCGGTTTCTTGAGGGCCGTTGGCGGCCTGTTGGGGCGCTCTTGGGGCCCCCTGGGGCTCGTGGGGGCGGAAAGCTAGATTTTTGAATTGTTGGTTGCCCTCTTGGGCCCCTCTTGGTGCCGTCTTGGAGCCTTCTTGGGCCGTTTTGGGGACCTCTTGGGCCGTCTTGGGGCCATATTGGACCGTCGCGGGGCCGTCTTGGGGGCCTCTTGGGCCGTCTTGGGGCGGTTTTCGGGGCTTCTTGGGCCGTCTAGGAGCGTCGGAAAGCCCAGAAGGCGGATGTGTGAACATTGTACGTTTCACGACACGCATCTTGGGGGCCTCTCAGGGGCGTGTTGGGCCATCTGGAGGCCATTTCGGGTGTCTTCGATCGCTCTTGGACCGTGTGGGACCATGTTGAGCTCTCTTGGAAGCCACTTGGAGCGCTCTTGGGGCCGTCATCGGGGCTCTCTTGGGCCGTCTTCGGCGCCGCTTGAGCCGTCTCAGCGCCTTGTTGGGCTGTCTTGGGGCCCTCTTGGAGGCTTCTTGGGCCGTCTTGGGGCGGTCTTGGGGGCCTCTTGGGCCGTCTGGGAGCGTCGGAAAGCCCGAAAGGCGAATTTGTGAGAAAAAAAGAAAAGAAAACAAAACAAAAAAACGCACGCTTTACGAAGGGAGCGGGCTAATTTTTGCGTCTAGAGGCCCTCTTGGGACGCATCTTGGATGCCTCTTGGGGCCTCTTGGGGGCATCTTGGGCCGTCAGGAGGCCATCTTCGGTGTCTTTGATCGCTCTTGGGCTGTCTGGGACCATATTGAGCTCTCTTGGAGGCCACTTGGGGCGCTCCTGGAGCGCTCTTGGGGCCCTTTTCGGGGCCCTGTTGGGCCGTCTTGGACGCTTGTTGGGCCGTCTTGGGGCCCTCTTGGGCTATCTTGGGACCCTCTTGGGGGTTTCTTGGGCCGTCTTGGGGCGGTCTTCGGGGCCTCTTGGGCCGTCTTGGAGCGTCGGAAAGCCCAGAAAGCGAATTTGTGAAAATTATACGTTTTACGAAGGGAATGGGCCAATTTTTGCGTCTAGGGACCCTCTTGGGACGCATCTTGGAGGCCTCTTGGGGCCTCGTGGGGACCTCTTGGGCCGTCTTGGAAGCCTCTAGGCTCGTCTTGGGGCCATCTTGGGCGTGTGGGAGCGCTCGTTTGGCGTCTCGGGGCCTTCGTGGGCCGTCTTGGAGGCCTCTTGGAGCCTTCTGGGCCCGTCTTGATCCCCTTTTGGGCCCAAAAGAGCCCCGTGACGCGCTCGTACTGGGCCCGGGGGGGGGGGGTCAAATCTCCGGTTTGGGGTCCCTGGGGGGGGATTATGGGGGGGGAACTATCTCACACGCCTAGAGACCCACAAGGGGTCGGCGGATTTGCGTTGGAATGTGACATGGGTGCCGCGGGAGGAGGACACTGTAGCCGACGCGCTCGCCAACTACGCCATTGACTCCAAGAGCTCCATTGGGTGAATGTCAGCAGCCAGAGTTACTGACAGCATGGATTTTATAGGGTCTCTGATGGCGCGTGTCGCCGCGGAACGCAGGAATCCTCATTGGCATGGGGCGTATACGGTGTGTCTGGAGAGGGTACATATTGCATCACTGTGTTGGCAGTTGGAATTATATACGCCTCTGGATTGGACAGCTGCGAGGCCGAACTCATGGATCTCGAAATTGCAGTGGCTGCCATTTCACTTGCTGTTGTGGTTTGGGATGCCGAATTCCTCACCGTTGTGATTCTCTGCTGCACGATCTGAGTTGCACCAGTTGCGGGCAGAGATGAAGTAGCGATAATTTGCGGCGACGGACATGCCCGAAACAGTTACGACATGAAACAAACAAAGGAGGAGGGAAGAGGGAGTAGGGATAGTGAACAGGGGAGGAGGGGGGGAGGAGGACAGGGAGGAGGACGAGGGCAGCAGGGCAGAGGGGACGCGGCGCGAAGGTGGTGTACCCAGGCTTCACCGTGGATTATTTTTTCGTGGACACCAACATCTTCAACGCCTGGGACAGCGGGCGCTGGCCAGACGACGACGACCACCACCGATGGAGGAGGGTTTGAGTGGGGGGAGGGAGGGGATGAGGAGGAGGGCTTGGCCACGGAAGGAGGGAGGATGGGGGAAGAGGAGGGGAGAAGAGGAGGGGGAAGGACGAGGAGGGTTACCAGGACTGCCGCCATCACAAGAGTGATATTCTCAAATGCTGGCCAGCCTCCACCCTGAACTCCTCCAGCGAGGACGAGGAGGACAAATGAGGTTGTGGAGGAGGAGGAGGACGACGGCATCAGATACCCTACAGCTGGCCTGAAGTGCGGTTTGGTCAGGACGCCGAGGCGACTCCATCCGCCACGACGATGACCCCTTCCCTCCCCCCCAGAGGCCCAGCATATAGCGAAGAGCGTCAGCATCGTCCCTCTTCCCCTCCTGTGAGGTCTGCCGCGTATCGCCCCGCGGAGTGCACGGGTCACTCGAGAGATGTTGTTGTCGTCCCCCTTCCTCTACCTCCGTCAAACAACAACTTCGAACAACCCAAAACAATCAAATTGTCCCTCGTCCCCCCTTGCCCCCCTCTTCCCCTCCTCCTCTTGCCCCCCCTCCCCTCCTGCCTGCTTCCCTCTGGCCCCCACCCCTCCCACGGCGAGGACAACACCGCGGACTCCGAGCACAACATCTGCGGTGCCGACCACAACGACGAAGGGGCCAGCTGCGGCGAGACCGGCCCGGGGAGCGTCGGCGACTGCCAGGGCTGGTTCCAGGACCTCTGCTCTGGCGCACCGGAGGAAGAGATGCGACACCCCACGGCCACCAGGGGTGGGGGGCTCCCCTCCCCAGACCCCCTCGGGCAGGGAACCAAAAACCATGGCAGGAGGTTTTTCTCGCTGTGTTCGGCCTCTGGAGGCCCTGGCCGGCCCTCGGGGCCGTCAGCAAAACGGCCCGGGATGGAAAAAACAGTCAAGGGGAAGGGGCCGAGACCTTTGGGGGTCGACGTCATGAACAGAGCATGACGCCAAGGGTCTGGGCCCCGCGAGGGGAATCCACGACGCCTCGGTCCCTGAGCTGGCGATAGGGCAGGTCTCGAGCGAGATGGGGGGACCACACCACCGGGAGAACCCTCCCTGACTCCTCATCCTGGTGGTGGTGCTGCTGCTCTTCCTAGGACAACCCAGACATCCGCAGTCTCGATTCGATTTTTTCGAGACACGGGCCCCCGACCTCTCGACCACTTCCCTGGGATCGGTTTTTCATCCCAGGCCCGCCAGGCAAGGGCCCGCCAGGCAAGGGCCCCGAGAGGCTAAAAACGATGGGAAACCCTCCGTCTCGATTTTCTCGAGACGCTGGATGTCTGGGAATGCCCGTGGCGAAGCGCACTGTCAGCCCCCAGAGGCTGTCCCAGCCGGCTTCAGCAGGCCTCGGGGCACTCCCCGCGCCGCCTCTGGGGGCGTCCCAGGGACGACGCGCGCCGCCCCCTGGGGAGTGCTGAGGCCATCTTGGACCACGTCTGGTCGGGCCTCGGGCTGCGCACAGACAGCCCCCCCCCAGGTAGTCTCGGCTGGCCCCAGCAGGCCCCGCGAGCAGTCCGGGGCGGTCTCAACTCCCTGCCCTCGGGCGCTCCGCGCCCCAGGGTTGAGATGTCGAGACCGCCCTGGACTACTCGGGGAGCCTGATGAAGCCAGGGGTGGGGGGGTGGGGGGAGGGGGAAGGCTTCTTAGAAACACCCCTGCTCCTTCGGAGACGCGGGCCTTCTCTACAGATGTGGGGCCCGCGCCTTCTGAGACGCAGGGGTGCTTCGAAGCAGCCTTCCCCCCTCCCCCCTAACCTTAAGTCGGGCCTGTCCCTCCACAGAGGGAATATTCAAAAATAGTAAAACAAATAACCTGGGGACTATTTTTTTCTATTATTTTTGAGTATTTGCTGAATATTTTTTACGTCTTTTCAGTTTTTCGCCCAAAATCCCCCTGTAGGGGGACACGCCCGACTTAACCCTAACCCCCCCTGTGCGCGCCGCCAATCTACGTTTCTCGGGGGGCCTGTCGAGGCCAGCCGGGACTGCCCGGGGGGGCTGTCCGTGCGCAGCCACGAGGCCTTGCCAACCACGTCCAGGGGCGTTTTGTGCGCCTCCCCACGCCTTGCCAGCCTCCTGTTCCTGAGCCCTCCAGGCTTCGCGAGAGGTGATCGCGCAGTTGTTTCAAGGGCGCCGTTGAGGGCGCGAAGTTATTCGCACTTCGCGCTTCGCGTTTCGGCTCCGATTCCTCCTGATCCTCCTCTTCTCCCCTGGGAGGCGGCGCGAGAGCGCGAAGTTTTTCGCGCTTCGCGCAGCGCGAAGCGCGAAGCTGGGAGCCCTTGTTGTTTGTTTCTGCTGTTTTTTTATTTTGGGGTAGCGTGCACGATCCTGCAGGATCTTGCAGGACCCTGCAGGATGCTGCAGGATCCTGCAAGGCTCGGCTGACCCGGGTGTGGATTGACCCGGGTCAGTAGATCCCCGATGTGCGCGAGCCTTGGGGGCGGGGTGGCCGCGCTGAGTTCGTGGTCGCCCAACGGGTGCATCAGTTTTCACTTGCGCTGGATCGAGAATCCAGCAGGTCTGGAAGTAGGCTGCCTTTTTTATCTTGATCCACGCTGAAATGTGCTTTTGCATTGTTTCATTCCCCCATGGAGCGCCGCTGGGAGGACGACCGTGGGGGCTAATGGAGGTCCAAGTCCAACTCATTTTTAGATTTCTGTTGGCTTCATCGTCTGCTTCGTTTGTTGAAAGTATGGCAGTTCCACGGTAGAGCGTTTTCCGCTCCGTCGTTTGGGCCACGTGGCCGTGATGAACGTGGATTTCGACCGCAGGAGAGGGAGGAAGAGGATGAGAAGGAGGATACCGACTACGACAAAACACGCGGACGAGGGAGAGGAATGTGGCCTGGTCTTGTGAGGCTGCAGTGTTCGGTAGGTTGCATTCTGTTCGCCAGCCTATTCCGTGCTGCGAAACATGCGATGTGATGGCCGTTCTTGTGAGGAGGAGAAGAGAAGGAGGAGGACGAGGTGGAGGAGGAGTCCGTGCAGAGCGCTCCTGTGTGAAGCTCAGGCTGGTCTTTGGTCGGCGAGTATTGGGAGGACAGCAAATTGTCGCGCGCCCAAACAGACCGTAGCAGGTCGTTCAGTCTTCCAGGCACCGCTGTGAGCTTTGCGGCGATGTAAGGCGCTTTTCGATATTCCGCCAGGTCGCTCCCCTCTCCTGGCTCGTGCACTGTGTCACATCCAGTGGACCCCGTCGGGGCATGTTGGTGCCGTTTCTTGAGAGGTTTGGATTGGCACCTAGAAGTCTCACTCATCCCTTACACCGCGCGAGTGGCTTCAGTGCTTCTTAACGTTCTGCGTGGTCTGCGGACGCACAGCGACCGTTGGTGACCGTTTGTTGTCGGGCAAGTGTTTTTCCCACAAGGGAAGGTTCCAAGCACGTGAGCCGAACGGGCACAACGGCGTAAACAAAAACGTTCGCCGGTCCGCACGGATTTCTTGGACCGGCGCTGTGACCCCCCTTGCGCGCGGAGCGCGCCAGGGCTGGCGCCAAAGTCGCCGCCAGGGGGACCCAGCGCCGATCCAAGGACTCCATGTGGACCTCCTACACTTTGTATGTTGTGCAGCTTTTTCTTCATGGTGAGGCTGCGCCGAGGCTGGCTTCCATCGCACACGGCCCCCTGCCCAGAGTAAGGCAGCTGGGGCTCGCCGCGATGCCGAGGTCAGGACATTCTTTGGGGCTTTAGAGACGGGGGTCAATGCAAACGGGGGTCAGTCAAAGCTCAGGGCCAGAGGCGCACTGACCCAGGTTTGGGTGCAGGATCCTGTAGGATCTTGCAGGATCCTGTGCAATGCCCGACTGACTGGGGTTTGGATTGGCCCGGATCAGTAGACCCCCGAATTCTCAACATCTTGACCCCTGCTTCCTTGTTTCCTTCCTCGGTCCCTTGTCCTTTCTTTTCGCAGGCGTTTTTGCCGATGGTGACCGCAGAGCGCCCGAGTCCCCCAGGCTCCCCGGTCACGAGCCAGTGCTTCCGCCAGAGCCAAGACATCGTTTGGTCTGGCATGGTGACCCCATGCAGATCCTCTCGCGAAGCCCTCGACGACTGCCTGACAGTCTGCATCTATCACGAGCGGAACAGCAGCTGCAATCAGTACTTGAGATACTGCCCAGAGCTCTGCCGCGAACATCGTTTACTCCCACTACTCTAGAGGGAGGGGCCAAAACAGTGCGTGCTGAAGAATCCCCTCCTCGTCGAGCGTAGCAAGGGCCCAGCCTGCTCTTTTGATGCCTTCGTGGGCTCCATAAAGCAGGGAGCCGTCTAAAACATCCTCTCCTTTGACCCATCCGTCCCACAGACCAATGATGGCAGCCTCGTGGGAAGGAGGGAGGTGGGGAAGGCTGAAGCTGGGGTCCTTGCAGATGGCTCTTCCCCGCAAATCTTCGTGTCCTGGCCAAGGATTCGCACCTCGCTGTTCGATGTGGCGGCCCCCGACTGGACTGCGAATTTCGGCGCGCTTGGGGCAGCATGCTGTCCTATGACGCTCTGATCCCACCGCCCCTTGACACGCCTGACGCAGGTTTTTTCCACCAACGCCCTTTGCAACCAGACGATCCTGGGTCCAAGAGCCTCCCCAGAACACCTGACGCACACGAGTTTGATGCTCTTTTGTCCAGGATTTGGTGAGTCTGCGCCACAGGAGGGCACGCACAGGCGCGAGAAAGTGCCCGTTGCCTGCGCCGAGGCCTTCGCCGCAGCGGGCCATCCAGTCCTGCAGGAGCTCTTGCTGAGTGGCACTCGTGAGCATCTGAAAACGGTCTCGCATCGCAAAGGAAACTGCCTCAGATCGAGATCAGCTTGTCCTGTGAACACCGACCCTGGCGAACGTGAGCACCAGCCAATCCTCCTCTTGCGTGACGACGAAGGCCGCTGCAGGGCCCGCAACGATCTGCCGGGGATGTTCAGCCTGTGCCACTCGGATGCTCCACTTCTTCCAGGCGCTCGTCAGCTTGGCATCGCTCGGACGTGTGCATTTTTCTTTCGGCGGGGACCATCGAGGAGCATCGATGATCACTTGGCGAACAAACCAAGCACGAAACCGAAACAAGCACACGGAATGGCCGTCCGAGCCATGGCCAGTTCTTCCAGGCGCTCGTCAGGCGCCCTTCCGTGTTGGGGTCCTGGCCTGTCTCTTGCCAGGCTCGGGCCCACTCAAGCATGGGGCCCGCCGTCGCCGCCGCGCCCGGGTCGATGCCGTCTGCCAGGAACACCATGCATGGGTCGAGCGCCCGGCATGGGGCCCTGGCATGGCGGCCGCGACGGATTGCTTGAGGTTGAGGAGGAGGAGGAGGAGGAGGAGGAGGAGGAGGAGGAGGTGGAGGAGGAGGAGGAGGAGGAGGAGGAGGAGGAGGAGGAGGAGGTGGTTGGCCAGGGAGGAGGAGGAGGAGGAGGAGGAGGAGGAGGAGGAGGTGGTTGGCCAGGCGAGCGTCGCTGATCCCCTGCACCCGCGCTCCGTAGAGGACGGAGGGGGCGGCGCCGTGCCGCACTGTTCTGTGCGCCGCTTCTCCCGCTGCCTTCGCTCGGCGGATGCGCCGACCGCGCGCCGCCTGCTTGATGGTCCGCTTGTTGACCGCGGCCACGCGTCGTCGACGCCCGGCGGCCGTCGTGACGCCGAGGTGCTTCTCGTGCCGCATCTGCTTGATGCCGCAGCGCTTGCAGATGCCCTTCATGTCCTGCTCGGCCGCAGTCGTGGACGACAGCGTCCCTGACTTGCCCTCGGCCCCGCGCGAGACCGCCAGGCCCGGTTTGCCTTCCAGAGCGTCCGCGACCTGCTTCACCGCCTTGGCGTGGCGGTGCTTGACGAGCTCTCGCGGCCCATGCGTCGCCGGTGCGAGGTCGTCGGAGAACAGGCACACCTCGGCCCGCGGGAAGGCGCAGACGATGGCGTCCACCTCGCCCAGGAGCACCATCTTGAGGCACAGGGGCGCGAAGATGCTGTCCGCGATGATGCCCCTGATCCAGCGGTCCCCCATCGTGTAAGCGTTGTTCAAAACTATCGTGCGCACCATGGAGTAAACTCGGAGAGGGACCCCGCCGGATCCCTGCGACCCAGAGGATGTGCAACCAAACGCGCTCGAAACATTTTAGGACAATGAAGTAGGTGACCCAGTAGGCGGCGCCCTCCGCGACGACCGCCTCGCAGTACAGCGCCTGCACCCAGGCGGCCTCCTCGCTGGAGCGCCCTTTGCTGGCCCATTCATAGGCCCTCCAATTCCTCTCTTCCCAGTCTTGCGCTGCGGGCTTCCTGGCGCGCCCCCAAACGCGCACAATCTCCGGCATCAGGCCCAGGTTCCGCAGGCCGCATGCAGGCTTGGCCTTGAGAAAGAAGAGCACTTCGGGGGTCCCCAAACGGGGTGGTGACCACACCGTGCGGTGAGTCGGTGGAGATTCGGGGTCACCGCACAGTTTTGGGACTCGGGTCGTTCTCCGAGGATGTCTCGGGCGACAGCGGCCTCAGGGGTCCCAAGGCCGTGCGGTGACGGACCGTGCGGTGAGGTCTTGGGGGATTTCAGAGTCACCGCACGGTCTGTCACCGCACCGTTTCGGCACTCCAAAGCACTGTCCTCTGCGTTGGTGGCCATGGCGACCCTGCCTCGACCGCGTTGCGCAGGCAGGTCAGCGCCGGGAGGCCCCGCCGTCCAGGCTGCGAGCCAGAGCTTCGGGTGCCGGTCGGCCTGGCCGAGCCCCGTGCGGGCGGCGAACGACCTGCACGCCTTCTCGACCTGTTGCCACAAGGTTTTGGGCAGCCTGGGCTCGTCCGCGGAGGGGAGGCCCTCCCGCGGCTGCCCTGGCTCGTACTTCTCCTTCCAGATGCCTTCCCAGCCCTTGAGCTCGTCGCCAGCAGCTCTCTGCCGATGGGCATGCCGCGCCCTGGGCGTGGGCGGATGGGTCCACTTGTGAATCGCCCCCGCTCCCTTAGCCTTGTGGAAGACGATTCATGGAGAGGAAGCATGTTGCCAAATAATTTCCAGATGTCTAAAGCATGTTTCAAACACGTCTTAAATACCTACAACACATGTTTAACACATGCTTAGAACATGTTAAACACATCCGTAATTCAATGATCGGACTGTGAGAGTGTCCATAGTCATGGCATCCGCAACCTTAGCCCCCTGCGCCTTGACCCATTGCTTCCAGTCGGCGGTGGAGGCCGTCACGATCCTGCGCCGGAGCTCATGCGCCTTGTGCTCGGCGGCCTCGGTGGCCACGAAGGCTCGCGCCTCGCTGGAGACCTCGGTGACCGGGGCGTCGCCGACGGCCGCGATGATGCTGCTCCGCTTGGTGGAGCCCTCGAAGACGACGGCGGGATCGGCGGGTTCGCGCTATCTGGGGGATCGCCGAAACCGACCCCTTTTGACTGAAAAGGGTCGGTGTTTCCTTCGCCACTGGTAGCGCCCTCGGCGCCGCCGGAACCGACCTCTTTGACTGAAAAGGGTCGGTTTATCCTTCGCCACCGGCAGCGGCCTCGCCGCCGCCCGTCAGGGTGGGCAAGACCACGGCGTGGGTGATGAGCCCCCTGGTGATGCTGCCGTAGCGCTGCCAGAGCGCCTGGGAGGGGCCCTTCGCCCCGATGCACGTGGCCAGCGTGGCCAGGCTGCGCAGCTGCTGCGAGAAACAGGTCATGCCCCGCGCCCGCCGGTGCGTTGGGTTGTCCACGGGGAGCGGCGGCTCGGGCAGCTCCGTCCAGGTGTACACTGGTGTGCGAACATGGCCTGTTGAGGTCGTGCTCGAACGCCGCCGCGACCTTCGTCCAGTAAACGTCGATCTCCCCCTGCGTGTAATCGCCCCTGCGGGCCAGGAGGCGAGGCAGCAGATGGGCATCGCGAGCGGCCACCTCCGGGGCTTGTCCAGCTGCAGCACCATGGGCGGCCGCGCCGAGCGCCCGAGCCGCAGTAGCACTGCCCGGTGCGGGGAGCAGGCTATCTCCTCCGACAAGTTGACCTCGATCTTGCTGTCGAGGAGGGTCTTGGAATTCGCGAAGAAGGCGCGGAACGAATCCTCCTGCCCTGTGACCCTGCAGGCCCCCTACGTCTGATCGTAGATACTGGCCCCCTCCAGCTTGTCGAGGAGGTTGGAGTCCAGCAGTTCCTGCGGGTTGACGTTGAAGTCGCCGCCCAGGGCCCAGAGGGGCTTGGTGGTGCGCACCAAGGCTCCGAACTTGCCGAGGATGGCGCAGTTTCGTGGCGTCATGCCTTTGCTGCACCACAGGTAGGTGCTGCCCACGATGTTGCCGCCCTTGCGTACCGTGTTTGTCCAAGCCCCCGCCAGGCGGCCTGCGGCTTGCTTTGGCGACGCATCCTCATTCTGGCCAGAGTCGCTCCCGCCTGCGTAGTCGAGGGCCATGGCCTTGGGCGCTGCGATGGCGACGTCTCCACTGTATCCTTTCTCTGTCTGCGCGCGGGGGGCCGTGGCCAGCCTCCCGCCGTCGCTGCCGATCCGCTTGGAGGCGTCCAGCAGCAGCTGTTCTCTGGGGGCCTGCAGCTCCTGCCTCAGGACGAGCGGTGCAGGGTGCGGGTACCTGGCTTGCCGCATGACCTTGTCGAGGAAGCGAATGGTGTTGGCATTCACTGTGATGGTCTCCTGGTGCTTTCCTGTGTGCTTCCAACCGTGGCTGTCGGGGTTACCCTCCAGACTTGCCCAGCGACTCCCTCGTGATGCCGAGAGAGAATTCAGCGGACAGACCAGCGCACTTACGAACGAGATAGCCAATATTCTTATCGCATTCTTCGGCCGAGACGTTCGCGGCCAGGAGCGTGTCTCTGATGGCGTCTTCGTTTGCCTGGGCGGGGAGGTTGATGATCTCCTCGGTAGCAGGGGCCTCGCGCGACTGAGAGGCGCCTCGCTTGGAGCCGCGCCCGCGCTGCGCAGCAGCACCGGCCGCGGCCTTTGCCTTGGCCTCTGCCTCCGCTTGCTCCTTTGCCTTCTTCTCCTCCTCCTCCACCCTGACCTTCTCCTTGGCCGGGGAGATGGCTGCGCTGAGCTGGGGGTCGGCGACCTGCGTCTGCCCGTCCGAGCTGGCGGCCGAGTCCGCCACGGCGGCCTTGACCTTCTCGAGCAGGGCGGGCGCCACGTTCCTTCCAGCCTTTGCCAGGTGCTGGCACTTCCAGCCCTTTCCGGGGCACCTTGAGCTGCGCCAGGCGCATGGGCAGCTTGCTGTCCCTGGCGGTCTTCTCCTGGATGCGCACGTCCAGGGCTTTGCGTTCCTCCTGCAAGCTGTCCAGCACACTCGTGGCCCTGGTGTGCTGTTCGTTGCACTTGCGGAGCTCCCGTACCACCTGCACCTCCGTGAAGCACCGTGGTACTGTTCTTTTCTAGGTCGCTCGGAGCTCGTCGACCTGGGTCTCCAGTGCTGGACGGCGTTTCCTACCAGTGCGCCCAGGATTGGTTCCTCTGCCAGCTTTTTGAGCTCCCCCAGCTTTTGGCGGTGGATGTCCAGCTGTTCCTTAGTTGGAGGATATCCTGCAGAGCCCTGCGATGGCAGGTCGCTGCTGGGCTTGTCCGAGGCGCTGTCGTTGCCTGGCGGCTGCTTGCTGCGAGGCATCCAGCACTTCCAGCATTGAACTTGTTCGGGCCAGTTGCCTGAGAAGCTGCAGTGGCCACATTTCCGCTTCTTCCAATCGGTCTGGCCGTTCTTTGCCATGCGCCTCCTGCCCTGAGTGCCACTTGGAAGTTTGAGAGGCAGAACACTCTGAAATCTGGGCGACCCTTGCCAGAAATGCCTGATTGCAAATGGAGGAGGAGGAGAAGGAGGAGGAGAAGGAGCAGGAGGAGGAGGAGGATGAGGAGGAGGAGGAGAAGGAGGAGGAGGAGGAAGGAGAATGAGGTGGAGGAGGAGGAAGAGGAGGACAGAGGAGGAAAGAGTAGGAGTGAGAGGAGGAGGAGGAAGAGGAGGCGGTCATGCTGAGGAAGAGGAGGGGAAAATTGACGATCACGATGTTGCCGATGGTGGTGGTGGAGATTGTGATGATGATGCTGATGATGATGAGATGATGGTGATGATGATGATGATGAGGATGATGATGATGATGATGATGATGATGATGATGATGATGATGATGATGATGCTGATGCTGATGCTGATGCTGATGCTGATGCTGATGATGCTGATGATGATGATGATGATGATGCGGCTGCTGCTCCTGATGATGCTGACGACGATGATGATGCTGATGCTGATGATGCTGATTCTGATGCTGCTGATGATGCTGATGATGCTATTACTGGTGATGATGCTGCTGATGAGGATGAGGCTGATGCTGCTGCTGCTGATGATGATGATGATGCTGATGATGGTTATGCTGCTGATGATGCTGATGATCATGCTGATGCTGATGCTGATGCTGATGCTGATGCTACCGCTGCTGCTGCTGCTGCTGATGATGATGATGCTGATGATGATGATGATGATGATGATGATGATGATGATGATGTTGATGTTGATGTTGATGCTGATGTGGAGGAGGAGGAGGAGAGAACAGAGGAGGAAGGATATCCTATCTCGCCTCATGATGCGGACCATGACTCTTGCCGAAACCTGTGAATTCATCCAAGAACGTCGATGCGATTTCATCCCAGAACTACTCTTCGCTCTCCTCCTCCTCCTCTTCCTCCTCACCTCTCTCCGGCTCCCCCTTCCTCCCTCGTCCTGGCTCGAGGATTTGTTCAACAATCAGATGGTGTGGCTCGAGAAGCAGCTGGCCACAGTGACCAGCGATTGGCAGATCGTAGTGTCTCACTTCGCTGCCACCGCGTTCGGCACCGAGGAGTGGAAGAGGCACTGCCAGGGGGTGGAGGAGGAGCAGAGGTAGCAGGGGGAGGAGCAGGAGGAGCAGGAGGAGGAGGAGGAGGAGAGGACCAGTTTGAGTTCGCATTCCTTGGCCGTCTTCTGGCCTCTTGGGAGGGGGGGGGGCACTGCCACGGTTGGGTCCGCCTCGAGATTCTGGTCAGGAAGCGCGCTTGGAGAGTTTCAGGGGGAGATTTCAAGGGACGGGAATGGTGATAATGATGATGACGATGATGATTGATGCTGATTGTGATGATGATGCTGATGATGATACTGCTAGTGGTGGTGATGCTGATGACAATGATTATGCTGATGATGTTGATGCTACTGAAAATGATGGTGCTACTGATGATGCTGAGAATGCTGATGATGATACTGATACTGCTGATACCGATGATGATGCTGATGACGAACATGATGATGACTATGATGCTGATGATGCTGGTGGTGGTGATGATGCTGACGATGATGATGGTACTGATTATGGTGGTGGCGGTGATGATGATGACGATGCTGCTACTGATGGTGGTACTGCTGATGATGATGATGCCAATGGCGACGACGGCGACAATGCCGACGACGATGAACATGATGATGATGCTGTTGCTGATGGTGATGATGCGGATGCTGATGAAGATAATGCTGATGATGCTGATGATGATGCTGCGGCTGATGCTGATTCTGATGATGGTGGCGGTGGTGGTAATGATGCTGATTGTTGTTATGATGGTAATGCTGCTGCTGATGATGCTGATGCTGCTGATGATGATAATGGTGGTGAAGATGGTGAAGATGCTGACGATAATGGTGGTAAGGTGAGGATGCTGAAGATTGTTACAATGACGCTGCTGATGGCCATGACGACGATGCTGCTGCTGATGATGATGCTGATGATGCGGCTTATGATGATGACGATTATGATTATGATGATGATGCTGATGATGACGATGATGCTGATGATGAGGATGGCGACGACGAGGACGATGACAAAGACGACGACGATGCTGATAAGGATGATGAAAATGCTGGCGCTGATGGTGCTGCTGATGATGTTGATGCTGATGATGCTGACCATGATGACGTTGATGATGATGCCGATGATGATGATGATGATGATGATGATGATGATGATGATGATGATGATTTTGATGATGATGATGATGATGATGATGATGATGACGATACTGATGATGTTGATGATGCTGATGCTGATGATGATGCTGACTATGATGCCGATGATGATGCTAATGCTCATGCTGTTGCTGATGTTGATGCTGGCAACGCTGACGATGACGACGACGATGAGTATGATGCTGCTGCTGATGATGCTGATGATGATGATGATACTGGTGGTGATGATGGTGAAGATGGTGAAGATGCTGGCGATAATGGTTCTACTAAGGATGCTGAAGATTGTTATACGGATGCTGCTGGTGGCCATGACGACGATGATGCTGCTGCTGATGATGATGCGGATGATTATGCGGCGTATGATGATGACGATTCTGATTATGATGATGATGCTGATGTTGATGACGATGATGCTGATGATGAGGATGGCGACGGCGAGGACGATGACGAAGACGACGACGATGATAAGGGTGATGATGCTGATACTGCTGATGCTGATGATGCTGCTGATGATGTTGATGCTGATGATGATGACCATGATGACGTTGATGATGCCGATGCTGATGACGATGATGATGCTAATGATCATGCTGCTGCTGATGGTGATGCTGACACCGATGACGATGACGACGACGACGAGTATGATGCTGCTGCTGTTGATGATGATTATTGTGGTGGTGGTCATTATTATGATGATGCTGATGATAATGATGATGCTGATGATGATGATGATGATGATGATGATGATGATCATGATGATCATGATGAGCATGATGATACTGATTGTGATGCTGATACTGCTGATTGTGACGAGGATTCAGATTTTGGTGGTGGTGTGGCAATGGTGACGGTGATGTCGATGATGATGACGATTACGATCTGCATGGTGCGGGCGTGGGTGATTATCATTCTGAGGAGGACGAGGCGGAGAAGCATAATACAGATAAGGAGCATGGGTGGCCGAAGGAAGAGAACGAGGGTGGTGATGCTGTTGAGGAGTATGCGGAGTTGGGGAGAGGTGAGGAGGAGGAGGAGGAGGAGGAGGAGGAGGAGGAGGAGGAGGAGGAGGAGGAGGAGGGTGGTCATGATGATGACACGTCTCTACGATGGCGCAGTTGAGGAGGTGGATGAAGATGATAAGTCGCGACCCTTCGCTGACAAGTACAACGATTCTAGTCTTGTGATTACGTTATTGATGGGTGCAGCGAGTACGATGGTAGTACTCTTGGCGAGGCTTGTGTTTATGATGATGATGATGATGATGATGATGATGATGATGATGATGATGATGATGATGATGATGATGATGATGATGATGATACTGGTGTTGGTTCTTCTGATGCTGATGATGGTGATGTAGATGCTGATGATGATGTTTCTGAGGATGTTGATGCTGATGCTGATGCTGCTTATGCTGATGATGATGATGATGATGACGATGATGATGCTGATGATGATAATGCTGATGCTGATTCTTATGCTGATGCTGATGCTGATGCTGCTGCTGATGATGATGTTGCTTCTGCTGCTGCGGATGATGCTAATTATGATGGTTACGATCATGCAATTGACGAGTACGACGATTACGCTGCTGATGTTGATTGTGATGTTGTGCGAGGAGTGGAGAGGAATGAAAGGATCACGTGGCTTTGCGATGAAAGGGGTGGGAAGGCGAGGAGGAGCAGGATCAGGATGTGGTCTGAGTGAGTGAGGGGAGAAGGCGGATCAGGAAATGGACCTACGACAAGGAGCAGAAGGGGGAGCAAGAGTCGGAAGAGGGAGAAGGGGTGGCAAGGTGAGGAGAGGGAAGGGGGAAGGGAGGGGCTCTGCGAGGAGGAGCAGCGGAGGGGGGAAGGAAGGCGGTGCAGAAGTGGCCGCCATTCGACGAGGATCGGGCGTTGGGATGCGGGGCGGCAGGATTCAGGAGGGGAAAAAACGCACAGACACAATTAATCGTCGACTTCCCACAAAATATGGGAAAATATGGGAAGTGGGTGGGAAGACAAAAACCCAGAAAGTATTGGAAAATATGGAGAATATTTTCATTTGTGTGTATTTATTTGTGTGTCCTGGGGCCCCTTCAAGGATGGAAGAGATAGGCTCCAGCTGGCGCGAGGGCCTGGAACAACCCCGGCATCTTCTGACGGCTACCCTGCTGCTCTTCGTGCCTGGGTTCCCACCGGCGGAA